CAAAAGACTGGGGCAGGAATACCTGCTTCCAGAATGGCTTGCTCACATGACTGTTGGCAAGATACACCACATGTATCTTGTACACATACATTTATAGAAAATTTCACCCTTTCCTTGGCCATACTGCAAATCAAATGCCTGTATATGTGGAGTCTGTGCTTTGATCTATTCTTTTTTTTTTGTGGTTCTGGGGTTTGAACTCAGGGCCTATACCTTGAGCCACTCCACTAGCCCTTTTTTGTGATGGGTTTTTTCTAGATAGGGTCTCACAAACTATTTGCCTATGTTGGCTTCTAGCCACCAACCTCCTGATCTCTGCCTCCTGAGTAGCTAGGATTATAGGCATGAACCCAGGGTCTAACTGGTGTCTAACTTGTATAGCTTTCTAAGAAGTTTTGACACCTCATATCATGATTGTGTTGGATTCACTCGGGTTTTGCTTTTACAAATACATTTTATTTAGTCTTACTACTTTTTGCACTGACTGGTGCTGAGGCCTGACCCCAATAAAATTCTGCTGTAACTGGTCTGGAATGGAGACTCAAACTACATGTTTTTATCTAATGCCTTGGTAATTCTAAAATACTTTGAGAGATGAGAAGCACTGTTCTAGTTGAACTCTAGTCTGTGGTGGCAGGGAAATCAAGGCCTGAAGAACGAGAGTAATTACCAGAAGTTATACAAAGAGTCAAGTGCAGATGTAAGGCTCCAACCCACGCATCATTTCCTAGTTTGTCCTCCTCACATCCATGTTCCCAATGACACAAGAAGAGTAGCAGAAAAGCAAGCAGGAGACATACGTCCAGAGGCTGCCCAGGTCCCATACCCACAGGCTGACAGGAGGTTGCAGAGGGGAGGGTAAGAGGGACATTAGCTTATTGGTCCATGGACACAGCCAAGGTGCTTAGTGTAGGAGGCTGTGAAGTTACAGAGACCTGACAGGTCAGATTTCCCTGTTTTTGACAGAGGAAGAAATTGAGGCCCAAAGAGGGCAGGATTTGGGTCTGCAGAGTGCCACACTCCTGTTCCAGTCCTTGGTAACCCATATACCAGCTTCCTTTCTGGCTCTACTGGCTCAAGGCTTCCAGTCTGCAGTTTACCTTCATGCGCCTGGTGGACGTGTGCAGAAAGGAGCAAGGCTGTATTTGTTTTCCTCACAATTGCATATCTTATTAACAGAGCAGAGAGAACGTACAGCTCCTACAGCCGAACGGTATTAAACTAATCAGGGCCCCAGAGAAGTCTTTCATTTCCAATGTAACTTTTGCCCTTTCAGATTTTTAATAGGAAGATCTTTTCCCCACAAGAGGGCAGCCAAGAGCTTCTTCTATACACACCAGCACTTAAAATCTGACCCTGGAAGTAATTTAGAAACTTTGTGTTCTTAAAGAAACATCCATAGGCATTTATTTTTAATTGTCTGTAGGAGAAGGAGCTACAGACTACAAACACAAACTTTCATTTATTTAAGGAGGAAAATTTCTTCATCTTAAAGATTTTAACAGTGCTTGGCATGTACTGTCCATTCAATACACACACACACATACATAATAGATAGATACACACACATACATACATTACACATATAGATGTGTATGTGTGTGTGTGCATGTATATATAAATATGTTGGTGGTGGTAATGGGGTTTGAACTCAAGGTTTCTTCACACTTGCTAGGCACGGGCCCTCTTCCACTTTAGTCACACTTCCAGTCTTCAACATATTTTTTCAAAAATTAAGTAAATGGCTTAAAATTAATGAATTTTTAAAAAATACCATTTTTGCTTAAGTGTTTGAAACAATAGAAAATAGGAATCCTCCTTTTGATTTGCTTCAGGTAAGTCCTTAAAATTCGCTTACTCTTAATTTTCTTTGGACCTAGTTTTCCTCTGCTCCCCAGACACTGAGCACACTCCGGCCTGAAGCCTTAGTCTTTGCTGCTCCCTCAGCCCAGCAGTTTCTTTCCCTAGAGGCCCACACGCTGACTCTTGGCCTCCTTGGCTCTTCACTTGAAAGTCACCTTCCCAGTGTGGCTTTCTCTGCCTCTCCACCTAAAAGTGTACTCTCTCCCTGACATTGCATCTCCTTCCTGGTTTTCAGTTCCCCCCTCCCCCACCCCAGCACTTGGGACACTGACCCTAACATGCTATCCATGACTCATTGTGCTGCCCCCTCCCCTGGGGGAATTAAGCTACTATGCCACACATTTTTGATTTGTTCATTGCTGCCACAACGACTAGAACAGATCCCATAATGTGGATGAATGTGGTTTGCCCATCGCTCAAGATGCAGAGCATTTGGATTTTGGACTTTTCTCCCCTTCTTTTCTCTTTCGCTAAAAATCTTTAACTGCAAGGAATAACTTACCCAAAACTATTTTTCTCTCTGATCATTTCTCACATCTAGTATCTTAGGAGAACAGAGATTATTGGGCCAAATGGCATAAGTATTTTAGTTTTTTTCAATTTTTAGGATAGTTTTTGAGTTACAGAAAGATTGAAACAATGAGGCAGAGAATTCACGTATTCTCTTCACTCAGCTTCCACTAATTCCAACACCTTATATGATCCTGGCTCATTAGTCAACACTAAGAAATGAACATTGGCACAATGCTATTAACTATACTACAGACTTCATTTGAATTCACTTGCTTTTTCTAATGTCAGTACTCTATTCCCACTCCAGTCTAGGTTCTCACTCCACAGTTAGGAATAAAGACTGAATATTTTAGAGCAAAAAGAAAAATAAAAATCTTGGTGTATATTCTGAAATTTCTGTAGATAGGCGGTTCCAGTCTATATTGCCAACAGTGACATCCTTTCCAAAGTCTCTTTAAAATTTGATGGTTAAAAATAGTATTTCCCTGGGTGTCTGTAATCCTAGCTACCAACAAGCAGAGATCAGGAGGATCATGGTTCCAAGCCAGCCTGAGAAAATACTTTGCGAGACCCTATCTTGAAAATACTCAACACAAAAAAGGACTGGTGGAGTGGGTCAAGTGGTAGAGTGCCTGCCTAGCCAGCACAAAGCCCTGAGTTCAAACCCCAGTACTGTCCCCCTCCAAAATGGATGAGTTTGAAAATTATTTCATACTATTTGCTACTTGAATTTTAAAAAGATCTTTGGATCTTTTGCCTGCTTTTTAAAATCAGTAGTAGAACTAGTGCAGTACAGTATAGTATATACAAAGTGCTTACAGGCCAGTGCTATGGTGGGGTTATAAGCACTTTATGTATTAAGAATATTAAATTTTTGTCAAGACTGATACAAGGATTTTTTTCATGATTTGCTGTCTGTGGAATATAGAAGTTTTCTATTTGTATGTCATCAAATTTATTGTTTTAGTTTTGTGATTGATTCTACTACTTTTTTAGGGTTAGGTTTTACTCTTTATTTTTTTTAATTGACGTGATAATTGTGCATATTTATGGGGTACAGTGTAATAATTCAACATATGTATACAATGTGATATATGCAATCAAATCAGGGTAAATACCCCATCTCTCTCTCTATTTCTCTATCAGTGTTAGGGTGAACAAAAGCAAGCCATGTTAGAACCGGACACCCTCCCTCTTAAAAGTGACTGATTGGAAACTCTCCACCCAGCCCTAAAAAAAAAAATAGACATCCACCTTTAGTCATTTACTAGAAACTCCCCACCTAGCCTTGAAGGAATGGCACACCCGTAAGCCTTTATCTCAGAGGGTCAGAAGAACAGTGAGGTTTATCCTTCCTGGGACTTCCCCACCCTTCTCCTTTGTCATCCCCAGTCTCTAAGTGGCCGGGGGCTTCAGCTCTCTCCAGTCCTGTGCAGGACTTCTCCAGAATAAACCCTGTGCTGGTGTTTGAGCTGTCTTCCCATCTATCCGTTCTGCACCTCTTTCACTCTAACACTCAGCAGTACTGGGGTTTTGAATTCAGTTCCTCAATCTTGCTAAGTAGGCATTCTACAACTTGAACTAACACCGACCCCTTTTATCAGATTGGGTCTTGCATTTTTGCCTTGGGCAAATGTCGTATCTGCCTCCTGAGTAGCTGGGCTTACAGCGGTGAGCCACTATACCCAGCATATTCCTGTGTCTTTATCATTTCTCTGTGTTTGGGGCCTTCAAACTACTCTCATCTTGTTCTTCATAAAATATTAACAGGTTGTTATAAACTATAGTCATCCTACTATACAGAGCACTAGAGCTTATTCCCCCTAACTGTATTTTGGTATCCATTGGCTATCTTCCCTGTATCCCTGCTCCCCCATAGCCTTCCCAGTCTCTAGTAATCACTGTTCTTTTTTTTAGCTTTCATATATGAGAGAGAACATGCATATTTCACTTAAAACTGTGTCTTCTACTTCCATCCATCTTGCTGCTGATGACCGGATGTCATTCTTTTTTTTAGAGGCTAAATTATATTCACTGTGCATAAATAAATTTAATTATCCACCCATCTGTCGATGGGCATCTAGGTTGATTCTGTGTCTTGGCTATTGTAAATTGTGGTGTAATAAACACGGGAATCTCTCTCTTTGCTATGCTGATTTCATTTCCTTTCGATATATACCCAGAAGTGCAATAGCTAAATCACATGTCTTAGTCTTAGTTTTTTTTGGTTTTTTTTTGCGGTACCTCATTGTTATCCATTCGTGACTGTGGTAAGTTTACATTCTTTTTTCTCTATGTACTGGACGTCATTTTGTTTTGCTTTTTATACTGATCATCCTGATTGGGATAAGATGATATTTCATGGTGGTTTTGATTTTCATTTTTATGATGGTGATGTTGAGTATTTTCATCATGTTCTTTTTGGGCATTTGTATATCTTCTTTTGGGAAATGTCCATATAGATACTTCATTTGTTTTTAAATATTGAGATAAAATAGAAAACATTGTATATATTTAAGGTATACAACCCAATGTTGGCATATGTATATGTTGTGAAATGTCAAATCAAGTGAATTGACATAGCCATCACCTCATAGTAGTTACATTCTTTTCCTCTGTTATAGGAAACTCCAACAGAGACACGGAACTCTGAGGCGAGGAAGCAACACTTTATTGTGCTGGCACAGACTCAGAGGACTTGTGTCCAAAGAGTGAGCCCCGAGAACAAAGGGGTCTCACCTTACACACTCTTGCAAGCAGGTTACAGAGGCAAAAGGCAAGGCTTAACCCATATATGGTTACATGTAACTCTGTTGGCTACTTCACCCCCAGTGCTAGGTGACCTTCTTCACGTTTTAGATTTTTAAGTTTTATCTCTCTGCTATGCCATTCCTTCCCCTCTGCTACTTTATCAGAACACAGGCCTGTCTGTTTCTCTTCTGACCCTCCTCCCTGCTACACCACTTCTATTTATTTTTACATTTTTTTGTATAGTGAGAACATTTAAGACATACTCTCTGAGCCAGGCATGGTGGTATACACCTGTATTCTCAGCACTGGAGAAGCTAATGCAGGAGGATTTGAAGTCTTAAGGCCAGGCTAGACTACATACCAAGACCTAAAAAAAAAAAAAAAAAAAACCTACCATCTTAGAAAATTTCACATATAAGATATTGTTAAATATAGTCAATATGCTGATATTGTATTTCTAGAACTTGTTCATCCTGCACAACTGAAACTTTGTACCCCTTGACAGATGTCACCTTCTTTCCCCCACTCCCTGCTTGTATGACTTTGACTATTTTATATTGCACACATCACTGAAGTTATGCAGTATTTGTCCGTCTGCAGTTGCTAAGGTAAATGACAAGGTTTGCTTCTTTTCTAAGACTGAATAATAGTCTACTTTGTTTGTGTACGCATGCGTGTGACATTTTGTCTACCAGCAGACATGTAGGCGGTTTCTGTATCTTGGATATTATGAATACTACAGTGAACATGGAAGTGCAAATAAATCTTCAAGCTCTCTCTTTTGGTTCCTGGGAGTCTATACCCAGAAGAGGGATTGCTGGATCATATGGTAGCTCTAGTTTTACTTTTTGAGGAAGCTCTATGCTGCTTCCATATTGCTGTGCCACTGTTGATACAAATAGTGCACTGGGGTTCCATTTTCTTCACTTCTTTGCCAACACTTCTTATTTCTTATCTTTTTGATAATAGCCATTCTAGCAGGTGTTGTATCTCATGTGTTCTGATTTGCATTTCCCTGATGGTTCGTGACGCTAAGTACTTTTACGTTTACCTGTTGGCCATTTATATGTCATCTTTTTAAATGCTGCTCAGGACCTTTGCTCATTTTATAATTGGGTTGGTTATTTGGCTTTTTGTTTTGTCTTTTTGCTATCGAGTTATGCAAGGTCCTTATATATGATGGATATTGGCCACCTGGAGATGTGTGGTTAGCAAATATTTTCTCCCTTTACATTAAGATATGTTTTCACTCTTTTGTTTCCTTTGCTATGAAGCAGCTTTATAATTTAGTGTGTTTTCAATTGTCTACTTTTGTTTTTATTACTCTGCTTTCCAAAAATTGCCAAGACAATGTCAGGAAGAATTTTTCTTATGTTTCCTTTTAGTAATTATATAGTTTCATGTCTGATGTTTAAATCATTAATATGTTTTAAGTTGATTTTTTTGTATGTGGTATGAGAAAAGGGTCCAATTTCTTCCTTTTGGGTGTAGATAACCAGTTTGGTCAATACTATTTATTGAAGAATCTAGTCTTTCAACATTGTGTATTCTTGGCACTGTTATGAAGTTGACTGTAAATGCAAGAATTTAAGTGAGGTTTCTCTATTCTCTTCATTGATCTATGTATATGTTTTATGCCAGCACCAGGTTGTTTAGAATCCTGTAACATTATAATAAATTTTGAAATCAGGAAGTGTGATGTCTCCACTTTTGTTTTTCTTGCTCAAGGTTTCTTTGAGTAGTGAGGATCTTTTGATATTTTATATGATTTTTAGGATATTTTTTATATCTGTAGAGAATACCATTGGAATTTTGTTAGGGATTACATTGAATATATAGATCACTTTGGGTAATATACACATTTTAATATTAATTCTTCCAATCCATGAACATAGGCTGTCTTTCCATTTGTCTATGTCTTCTTAATTTCCTTCATTAATGTTTTATAATTGTTAGGGTACAAGTCTTTCATGTCTTTGGTTAAATTTTTTCCTAGGTACACTATTCTTTTTATAATATAAATGGGACTGCTTTCTTCATTTTCTTTTTAAATAATTTGTAGTTAACTGTATAAAAACACTACTCATTTTCTGAGCTGATTTTTTTATATCACACTTTATCGAATTTGTTTATTCTAACAGATTTCTTTTTTTTTGGGTTATGTCTTTAGGGTTTTCTACATACCTGGTCATGACATGTGTGGAGATAATTTTACTTCTTCCTTTTCAGTTTGGATGACTTTTATTTCTTTTTCTTGTTTAGTTGCCAGGTCTTCCAGTACTATGTTGAATGGAAGTGGTGAGGATAGACTTCCTTGCCTGGTACCAGATCTTAAAGGAAAAGCTTTCCGTTTTTCTCTGTTGATTATGATGTTAGCTGTGAGTTTTATGTATATGGCCTTTATTGTATTGCAGTAAGTTCCTCCTATACATTTCCTGTTGAGAATTTTTTTATAAATGACTTGTTAAATTTTGTTAAATGTTTGTTCTGTATCTAGTGAGACTATCATGTGGTTTTAATCTTTTATGTTAATGTGGTTTATATTGTGTTAGACTGAAAGAGGCACAGAATTGATAGGTAGAGACAGCTCAAACAGTAGCACAGGGTTTATTTGAGAAGAAACCCTGCAGAGGGGAGTATCCAGCCAAAGCCAGAACCCCACTGATGCTTACAGACTTGGAATAGATATAGATATAAGAGAGGGGCCTGGAGGAAAAGTTTAGCTGGGTGAGAAAATTTTTCCAGATCTAACAATGCTAGGGGAAGCTAGAGGAGATAAGTGGTAATTCCTTGAGGCTAGGTGTGGTCCTTCCAATAAGTAGTGGGGGGTTTCTAGTAAGCTGCCTGCAAGAATGGGGGATCCAATCCTAACATGGGTTCCCTTTTGTCACCCTAACATACTTTTTTTTACATGCATTAAACCATCCTTGCATCCCAGGAATAAATCTCATTTGGTCATGGTGTATGATCTTTTGAATATGCTGTTGAATTTGGTTCGCTAGTGTTTTATGAGAGAGTTTTGTGGCTGTTCATCAGTGATATTGGTCTATAGTTTTCTTTTCAGCCCCAGGGAGATGTAGTAACATGTGCTTCAGCATCTGGGGTCAGCTTCAGTGAAGTCTGTGGGGGGTCCTTGGCAGCAAAGGCTGTTAGGGTGGTCCTTGGTGGTAAAGGCCATTTGGGTCCTCCTGCTCTCTTTTCCCCTGCAGGGAAATTGTGTCAAGAGGATTCCTCTTGGTGCTGGATTGTGCCAGCCTAGGAATAGTGTGAAACAAGTAAAAACTGCTTTTCTAACTCCTTTCTGTAACTCAGATTTTTTCTGTGCTCACTTTTTTTGTTTCACTGGATTGCTGCAATGTGTTAATTAGACTCTGAATCTCTCCCAGAGCTATTTTCACCAGTGAAGAATTGAGTCATTGTTAGATGAGGGGGAAATGAGAGCTGGAACCTCCTGCTCTGTCATCTTGCTGACACCAGTCCTGATTTTTTATGCTTAGATACTTCCTCATTCTCCTATCAAATATTTCAGAAACAGACACATATATACAGACATTATTTTTACTCTTTAGACCACTTAGAGTTAATTTTGGTATAGAGAAAAGAGGGGAAATTAAAAGTATTTTAATTTCTGAAATTATTAACATGCTGTACCACCATTGTTTAAAAAATATTCTTCCTTGTTCCTTTTAGTGTTATGCCTCTCCTACACATTTCAGAAGATGTGGATTGTGCTACTTGGTTTCATTGGCTCATTTGAATATTACGGAGTTATCACAAAATTGTTTAGTGGCTCATTATTTTAAAAGATAAGCATCCTTGCATCTCTACAATGGGATGTTCAGCCAATAGCATGATTCTTAATAAGCAATTTCGAAATGAGGTTAAAAATGGGAAGATGAGTTAGATGATTTTGTAGAGAAAATTTCAGAACATCTTAAGTCATTTGCTACTGCTGTCAAACTTGGAAATGGGAACCCAAGTTTAATGGGTATTAACTTGAACACATCCTCGAACATTAAATCTCTCAGATGTTTTACTTTCCAAATAAACTTGTGATTTCTTTCCAAGAATCTGCTCACTGAGCTTCAGGAAGAGGATACCGATGGGGATATAGCTCCAAGGGGTTTTCTGGGGTCTGATTATGAGTCATTCTTTTTTTTTTTCCACAAAATATTTTATTACTATAATTGTTATTGTATTTAGAATTTTTGGCAAAATTAATAAAATAAATTTTATCTGAAATAACAAGCAGCAAAATAGATAAGAAAATTCACAAAGGTAATAAAATAGTAATCTGGACAGATATCCAATATATTTTTAAACAAAGCAAAGCAATATTGCTTTAAAAATATATATAGCACTATAAATACCAAAACAGAGAAAGCTCCTCAAAGATTCAACTCATAATACTAATTTTCTTTTGTTGTAGGTGCAGAAATTGACTCAACCTAGCTCAATTTTAAGACAGAAGCAAAGCCCTTGACAATGATTCCTTCTTAGCATTTTTGTGACTATCTAGAGAACAGCTGAATTGGAGTGGAAGGAAGTAAATTGCCTTTAGAGAGAAGGAATAAGTAAGGCTTTAAAGAGCAAAGATTTCTAGTCACCCTGAGAACCCTGGTGAAGCTCAATGAATCAAAGGTGAGGTAGCAAGCCATACACACCTAGGGGAAAAGCATTCTAAGAAAGGAAAAAGCATGTGCAGCCTTTGGTCAGGAAGAGATGTGATTTACTTGAATAACAAGGCCAGTATGTGAAAACAGTGCATCAGTGGGAAAATGGCGAAGAAAGCAGGAGGAGGTAAATAGGAGCCAGACCACTGAAACCTGAAATTAGTAATAAAAGGCAATTTGTAGGGAGGGGGTGGGGGCAGGGGGGAGAAATGACCCAAGCCTTGTATGCACATATGAATAATAAAAGAAAAAGAAAGGCAATTTGTACTTCTTAGGAGCATGTTTTAGTGAAATATCACTCAACATTA